AACCCAGGGTCTGCCTAACTTCAGAGTTCATGCTCTTAACCTCTGTGATTATTTTGTCTCTGGCCTGGCTATCCTGGAGGTGCCTGGGCTGAGGTAGGGCCTTCCTGTGCCTTACTGCCCAGGGTCCAGTAGCAATGCAGGGGTTGGAGGAAGCTCAGGACTCAAGAGACTTCAGAGAGTAATGGTTGCTCCATCCCACCCAAGTGGTAGGTCCTGACTCAAAAGCAGACCTGGGAGCAGTGCAGTGTCCCTGCTGAGGGCTTAGAAGTGCCACTATGCCCAAGTGAGCAAAGTGAGATACTTCCCCGGGAGGCTTGTCTATAGGGGTAAGAGGCTGGGCATGTTGACCAAGAAAGCATTCTCATTCAGAACTTCTCCAGCACCAACAGGTCAGTGAGATGAAAAAGAATAATTTTGTGCTTCTAAAGCAATAGCCCACTTGAAAGCCACATCTATGGGTCCATCTAGGATCTTTTCAAACCCTGACAACAAACTCTGAGAGAAGGCGAGTAGGTCTAGCACCTGCTTGACAGAAGAGGAAATTTGGGCTCTGTGAAGGGAAAGTCATGACCTGGGAAGAGCCCAGCTCAAGGGCTAGAATCTTGGCCTCTTGACTCCCAGAGGAGGCCCTGTCCGCCTCGGGGCCCCTCCATCAGCCTGGGCTTAGTGGGTATCCCTGCCTTGAGGAGTTGGGTGAATCTTTGTGAGCCCATTTTGGGGTCTGCTCTGTGGTAGAATCAAGAAACTAACAGCAAGCTCAGGAGAACCCAGGGGTTCACCATGAATTGTGTGTGCCTATACTTACACCAGCCTGGGCAACACAATAGGTATGCTAGCTTGGGGCTGGAGAAGGGATCTTTGGCTATGCTGTGTCTGGAGGTAGAGGTCTTTTATGTAAGTATATCTTTTATTAAATTGTGTTTACCCCAGATGATCAAAAATTATTTTACAACAAAGACATTTGCACCAGAATGTTTATTGCAGCCAACTTTATAATAGCCAAGACATGGAAACAGCCCAAGTGCCCACTGACCCATGAATGGATTAACAAATTGTGGTATATGTACACCATGGAATACTATGCAGCTGTAAAAAAGGATGGAGACTTCACATCTTTTGTGGTTACCTGGATGGAGCTGGAACATATTCTTCTTAGTAAAGTATCTCAAGAATGGAAAAAAAAGTATCCAATGTACTCAATACTATGAAATCAATATATTACCACCTGCACACTCATAGGAATGGCAAAACATAACTATATTCCAGAAAGTAGAAAGGAAGAGGAGAGAGAGGGGAGGGGAGGGGTGATATGGGAGGAGGGAGAGTATGTGGGGGGACCTCACCTAATGT